CTTAAAGGTTTGACTACTTACTGTGGGAGGGGGCCCCGGCACTATTGACACCATAACCACTACACTGAGCTGTAGTGGTTATTGTGTCTGGATTATTTCTTTAAATAATCTACAAGTGCCCCTCCCGAGATCAGGCTCTGGATCCGCCACTGTTCTGTGGGGATGTTTTTCAGCACCCGGGACTGGTCAGAGTTGAGGGAAAGATGGATTGTGCTAAATACAGGGATATTCTTGAGCAAAACCTGTACCACGAAGGTTCACCTTCCAGCAGGACAATGACCCTAAACACACTGCGAAAGCAACACTTGAGTGGTTTAAGGGGAAAGCCCAGACCTCAATCCAATAGGAAATCTGTGGTCAGAGTTAAAGATTGCTGTTCACAATTGCAAACCATCCAACTTGAAGGAGCTGGAGCAGTTTTGCAAGGAGGAATGGGCAAGAATCCCAGTGGTAAGATGTGGCAAGCTCATAGACTTATCCAAAGCGACTTGGAGCTGTGATTTCCGCAAAAGGTGGCTCTACAAAGTATTGCCTATAGGGGAGGTGAATAGTTATGCACATTGACTTTTTCTGTTATTTTTTCCTATTTGTTGTTTGCTTCACGATAAAAAAAAAACATCTTCAAAGTTGTGGGCATGTTCTGTAAATTAAATGATGCAAATCCTCAAACAATCCATGTTAATTCCAGGTTGTGAGGCAACAAAACATGAAAAATGCCAAAGGGGGTGGGTGATTACTTTTGCAAGGCACTGTATGTTTGTCTCTGAATGAATGCATGTATGTAACTGTATGCCTTTATCTCTGTATGTATGTGATTGTGTGTCTCTGTATGCCTGTATGTCTTTGTATGCATATTTCTGTTTGTTTGTATGTATGTATCTGTCTGTATGCCTGTATCTCTTAAATGTATGTTTCTGTATGTACGTATGTCTTTATATTTATGTTTCTGTTTGCCTGTATGTCTCTGTATTTATGTATGTTTCTGTATGCCTGTATGTATGTTTCTGTATGATGGTATGCCTCTGTATGCATGTATGCCTGCATGTCTCTGTATGGATGTATGTTTCTGCCTGTGTGTCTGTATGTTTCTGACTGTATGTCTCTGTATGATTATTTCTGTGTTTGACTTTGACTGTGTGCCTGAAAAACGATGCCTGTGGCTTGGGAGGAAAGACATACAAAGGGATCTGGAGGGGAGGGAAACAAAAAACAGACTAATGGAAAAAGAGCCAGACAGAGGGACTGAGGTGGAGAAGGAGACTAAGAAAGAGATTGGGGCAAGAAAGACACACAGAAAGGGGATGGGGTAAGAATGAGACACATAAAGGGGCTGTGTGTAAGAGACACATAAAGGGGCTGAGGTAAGAATGAGACAGAATGGGACTGGGGGTAATAGACACATAAAGGGGCTGGGGTAAGAATGAGACACAGAATGGGACTGGGGGTAAGAGACACATAAAGGGGCTGGGGTAAGAATGAGACACAGAAAGAGGCTGAAGGTAAGAGACACAAAAAGGGGGTTGTAAGACACAGTAAAGGGGGAATAGAATACACTAGAGCACAAAAGGGTTAAGAAAGGGGGGTTACAACAAGACACACAGGTGAAAATGCATTTATTTATTTTATTGAAGGGGGTGGGGGCTCCAAAATGCATCTTCACCTGTGTAGCTAAAAATCCTTGCACAGGCCCTGGGTAGCAACTATAATATACAACATTTCTATATTACTTTTTAAGCGCCCTTTTGCACAGAACACTTTCTTCAATATACATGTTCAGTCTTTTTAATTCTAATTATACTGTCATGAACTTTAACATTAACATAATGTGGAGCAAGCATGTCAAACATGCAGCGCACAATGAATATCTTTGCGGTCTGCCTGCCCTTGGGCCGCGTTGTGCTATGACTGCAACTGATTCTTGTCTTTCCTCCCACGGCCAATCGCATGCTCCCGCGGCACTACAGTGCACAGAGTGGCAGGCTGTCTGCAGAGCAGGCCAGCCACCCCCCTTCCCTCCTGCTCACAGTGCCAGAGGAGCGTTAAGGCAAAACAAGAGAGGCTTGGGGGGACCAGGGCCGGATTAACATAGGGGCTGATGAAGTTGCGGCTCCAGGCCCAGGCCCATGGAATAGGCCCATTGTAAAAAAATAAAAATAAAAAGTTTAACTTTTTTTTTTTTTTTTTACAGACTACTCTTAGGTTTACCACCTTACTGGTATTTTAAGGCACAGCTGGTAATGGAGGCTGCCTGGCCATGACGGTACTGCAGTAATACTAGCAATACAAATGCAAATATTTTTCTCCGTATAAACGGAGATTACTCTGCAATACCAGCACCGGCCAGTAGGGGTCACTGTGTGTGGAGAAAGGCAGGGATAGGAAGTTACAGCATCTCCCTGCCTCTCTGTACTCACTGATCCGCGGGGGGAGCAGCTACACAGCACAGAGAGTCCAGAGGCAGCTCCCAACCTGCAGAGACAGACTACAGCTCAGGTATGTGAAGGATGGGGGGGGAAAGGCAGCAGGGAGACATGGGGACACATGTCTCTCAGTGTCCCCATGACTCCCAGCCAGTGTCTCAGTGTCCCCATGTCTCCCAGTGTCCCTATGTCTCCCAGCCAGTTTCTCAGTGTCCCCATGTCTCCCAGTGTCTCCCAGTGTCTGTGTCCCCATGTCTCTGTGTCCTTAGTGTCCCCATATCTCCCAGTGTCCCCATGTCTATGTCCACAAGTGCCCCATGTCTCCCAGTGTCCCCAAGTGTCTGTGCCCAGGAACATTGCCAGTGTCCCTAGTGTCTGTGTATCTATGTCAGTGTCCCTAGTGTCTTAGTTTCCCCAAATGTATGTGTCCCCATGTCTCTCAATGTCCCCATGTCTCCCAGTGTCCCCATGACTCTCAGCCAGTGTCCCCATGTCTCCCAGTGTCCCTATGTTTCCCAGCCAGTGCCCCTAGTGTCTCAGTGTTCCCATGTCTCCCAGTGTCTGTGTCCCCATGTCTCTATGTCCTTAGTGTCCCCATGTCTCCCAGTGCCCCCAAATGTCTGTGTCCCCATGTCTCCCATTGTCCCCAAGTGTCTGTGTCCCATGTCTGTGTCCCCATGTCTCTCAGTGTCCCCATGATTCCCAGCTAGTGTCTGTGTCCCCATGTCTCCAAGTTTCCCTATGTCTCCCAGCCAGTGTCCCTGGTGTCTCAGTGTCCCCATGTCTCCCAGTGACTGTGTCACCATGTCTCTGTGTCCTTAGTGTCCCCATGTCTCCCAGTGTCCCCATGCCTCCCAGTGTCCCCATGTCTATGTCCACAAGTGCTCCATATCTCCCAGTGTTCACAAGTGTCTGTGTCCCCATGCCTCCCAGCCAGTGTCCCTAGTGTCTGTGTCCCCATGTCTCCTAGTGTCTGTGTCCCCATGTCTGTGTCCCTAGTGTCTGTCTCCTCATTTCTCCCAGTGTCCCCAAATGTCTGTGTCCTCATGCCTCCCAGTGTCCCCATGTATGTATTCACAAGTGCCCCCATATCTCTCAGTGTCCCCGGGTCTCACAGTGTCCCCATGTCTCTCAGTGTCATCTAGCATCCTAGTGACACGGGACACACTGAGGCATGGGAACACTGGGAAAAATGGGGACACAGATACTGGGAGACTAGGGGACTGGGCGACATGGGGACATTGACACTGTGATACACAGGGACACTGATGCCAGGCTGGCCTTCCAATTCTTTGGACAGACATGCCCCCTTTTTGGGCATGTTCGCCCCTTTTGGCAGTTCTTGTCACGTGATTCGTTCAGTGGTGCACCCTTTTACCCCGCCCATGGACACTGCTGTTATGGGGTATGGATTTACTTGAAAGATGAAAGCATTAATTAGATAAAGCGATTAGCATAGAGTATGTGTTTTCTTATAGCTGCATCCTTTAAGTTTCCCTCCAACACAAACTCCATCAGATACATGATACATGAGGTATGACTGTAGTAGATGATTTACTGCAAACCAATTAGTTTGAATGACTATCTGTTCCTGTCCAAATTAAAGATAATAAAGTTGCGTGCACGCAGAAGTAAATTCACACTGAGACACAGAGTTCAGGTTAATGAAAGAACTTCGGAGAAGTTTAATGGCTTCTGTTTAAAAAGCAGGCTCGCAGGCCCTTTTAAAGGCATTATTACATCATTGAAGAAAATCAAGATATAGACAAATAGACATTGTTAATTGGCTTAGGTGCTAAGTAGTTAGTAAAATGCCCTCCCTACGGGGTGTACCATCTTAGGTCACTATCCTCGTCATGATTGTCTCCTCCAGGTTTTAGCGCCATTTTGTTAACATGAGGAGCTCACTCGACGGGAGGGGCCTTTTGGCAGCTATCCATTTAGAGTGTAGCCTGGCACTGTTAGTTTCTCAAGGTTAGGTTTCAAGGCTTTTAGTAAATACACATTTTATCAAAGCTATTTCTTGCTGACATGCAAATTCTATGTTCTATAGACAAAGCTTTCTTGTAAAACTATGGGGCCTCTTAGAGGTATAGCAAGAGGATTTAAAGGGGCCTTACAGATTTATAGAGGCCTAATAATTCTACAACAGTCCCCCCTTAAAATGTTATTTGCTAAAAGACAAAACTTCATTTGTTAGTATCAGAAGATGTGTTAGCCCAAAGACACAGAAACCCCATGACCGCTGACTTAGTGTTAATGCAAAGTGCAAGTCTATCCCTCTCTTGACCCTAACAGGCTGCAGCACATCCGTCAGTACGGTTCAGGAACACTCTTCACTCCGCTGGTAACCCATAGTGGCTTATCCACTACTTCTCCGTACGGCAGTCTACCCATAAAGACGGACGCTGTCCCTGTACTGTCCCTTCCTGGACTTTCTGCACTTCATCAGTATAAGGGAGAGTTTGTAGCGGAATACAGGGTGAGGTGAGATCTTGATCATCGATTGTCAGATGAGTGAGAGTTAGTGTCGCTTGGTCTGTAGTCTTCTGTAAGAATTTTCTAAAGCATGGGAGGACACAACAAACGAGAAGAGCGAGAACAAAAAGGAAAATTAGTACAGCCATACCAATATGGACTAAAGCTTTCTGCCAACTTGACATCCAACCAAACCACCTTTCCCAGGGATCTGTTACCCCAGAATTCCTTTTCAACTCCTCTGAGAGTTTCTCTAACTTCGCTATGGCCATAGTGACTTTACCATTTGGACCTGTGTTTTCTGGGATATAAGTGCAACAAGTCATGGTGTCAGGTAGTATTTTACATACACCCCCCTTTTCAGCTAGAATCATGTCTAAGGCCATTCTGTTCTGGAAGGTCATCTGGGATGTGGCCTGCAACTGCTCGGCCAGGCCCTGGAGGGCATCCCTGGTGTAGTTGACAAAACGCTGTTGGTTGTAATAAATGTAGTTAATCCAATTAAGGTTTTTGTTGGCAGTGACTATGGTAAAAAGTGATTCAAAACCTACAGCTACTTCATCTCTAGCTTTAAATTCATTAGGCACCCCCCTAGGTACCCCAATGGCATCTATGTAAATGTGGGGGTCAAAACTGCCTTTTACTGGGGTTTCACGCTTAATCCTAGCTAACGTCTGTGGGGAATCGTGGGTGCCACTGGTGGATGATTGTCAGAAATAATGTGGATGGGCATGATAACCTTGGCCAAGGTACACTCCCCCCACCAGTCAGTCTCCAGTCTGGATCTTAACTGCAAGTCCCCACATAGCCAGTAAATGTCTCCTAGTGACCTGGTGTGATGTTGCAACAGACGTATGGGGACAGTTCTGTAAGTGGCACAATAACCTTTAGAAAAATTACCCATGAATTTACCAATCCCGTCATACATGGCATAACAAGTGTAATTACCTCTATAGACTGTGATTCCATCTGGTGGCTTAACATTTTCAACTAAGAGAGGGTATTCTGCCGTCCATGCCATGCAGAGGGACCTATTAAAGTCATATTGGTAGGCAAAAAGGCTTAAGAAGCAATCTTCTCTCTCTAAAGGGAGAGTTAGGGGGACGGTGCCAAGGTGGGGTCGGGCACCGCCACATACATAACATGCTGTTTTATTATGTTTGTTGGCATTATACCTCATCCATTCTAACCACAAATTAATGTCATTGAATCCAGTTTCAGCGGCCATGGTATCTTCAAAAGTGGGGTTAGCGATGGCCATCATATCTTTAAAGGACTGGATATGTGGTTTTAGCGGATTTGGGACCATATGATCAGCCCCTTGCCACTCTGGAGAGTGGTACATATCTCTGAGGTAGAAATGACCTAATTTGTTGTAGGAACCTTTCTTCCAATACATTCCCATTACATATCGGTCTGTATCCTCTGGGCCAGGATGTTCAATATTTAACATTAATTTCATAGGGGTACTTCCTCCAGGCTTTCTTAAAGTCATTCTTTGAAGGAGGGATCTACCCTGATTGTCTATCTTAGATAAAGCACTTTTGGGTTTATAACCCCAGGCAGGCCCAGTATTCCATCCCGCAGCCCCCAGTAGTTACAGTCATAACCCCATTGTTCATCTACTACACAAACGTAAGGGTCTTTTGCTTGTGGTATATCTTTATAAATGGCTTGAATCTGTGACTTAGGGAATGGGCATTCTACAATATCACAGTAATCAAAGGTGAATGTAGCCACGCGGGTACATGATGAATTATACCAGAAAGTGTACCCAGTAGCATCTTTGGTGATGGCCACCTGCTGGGCTTTAAGGAGGCCAACTAAGGAGATAATGTACCAGAGGCACATGGTTGCATAGAGTTAGCTTCCTCTGGGGCAGGTGTCTTCTTGCAGTGGGAAGCGTGGATCCAGTTAGGCCTTCCGGCCAATTTGACAGAGGTAGGGGAGATCAGGAGAACTTGTAACGGTCCGTCAAATCTTGGTTCCAGGGTATGTTTTCGCACAAATTTCTTGACCAGAACCCAGTCACCGGGGAGCAGACTGTGGTTGCCTGTGTCAGAATCAGGATCTGGAATTGAAGAGAAAACTTGGGCATGGATTTTGTTTAAAGCATTTGCAAGTTCAGTTACATAGTTTACTAAAACATCAGTATGAAGTTGTAATTGCTGGGGAAAATAGCAACCTAGCCTGGGTGCTGACCCGAATAGAATCTCATATGGGGACAATGAGGGCTTCCCTCTGGGTGTATGTCTGACACTAAACAGGGCTATTGGCAAGCTTTCGGGCCAGGGCATTTTTGTTTCTTGCGACATTTTTAGCATTCTAGTTTTCAGGGTGCCATTCATACGCTCCACCTTACCACTGCTTTGTGGGTGATAAGGTGTGTGGAAGGCAAGGATCACTCCTAGGGCGGCCCAAATCTCTTTGGTTACTGATGCTGTGAAAGCTGGGCCTTGGTCACTTTCAATGACTTCTGGTAATCCAAACCTACATACAATTTCTGTAAGTAGCCGTCTTGCTGTTGTTTTTGCGGTGATGTTAACCGCTGGGTAGGCTTCTGGCCAGCCTGAGAACATGTCCACTATTACTAGTGCATATTCGAAGTTGCCACTCTTTGGCATCTGGATGTGGTCTATCTGAATTCTTTGAAACGGGTACATGGGCTTGGCCAAGTGTTTTGGAGGGACTTTAGCCATTTTCCCCGGATTGCACTTGGCGCAGATGACACACGTCTTGCAGTAATTGCTGGCTAGCGTGGTAATTCCAGGGGCCTCATAGTACTTCTGTACAAGGGCAATCATCAAATCTTTTGATAAGTGTGCAGGGCCATGTGCCCACTGAACAACTGCTGGGTATAGATTCTTAGGAAGGCAGAATCTGAGATTGTTGTAATACACTCCATCTCTTAGAACTGCCCCTTTCTGTTTCCACTTCTGTATTTCTTCAGGGGCAACTGTAGCCTGTTGTTCC